TTCCCCACAAAGAATCCATGGCTGCCTATTTCAGAGAGAAGGAGGCAGATGTGATTTCAGCCGTCCAGAAACACAATTTAAGGAAGCTAGGAGCAAGGGGAAAAGGGAATGCAGAAGGGAAATTCTCTTCTCTGCCCATAGTAAGCGTGCCCACGTGGTCAGCAGCTGGACCGCGCCGTGTGTGGCCCCCAGTGTCATCAAGCAGCACCCATCTGCTGGGTTCCCAAAGCAGCCGGGGAAAAAATAGCGCCCCACGTCCCACGCACTCCAGCTGTCCTCGGCATCCAGTGCTCAGTGATTTTTTTTTCTAAAAATAAAATGAAATAAAATCATCACTTTTCCAATCAAGAGAGCACTTTTTAAAGGAACAATCATGTGAGACGCTGTTCTAAATCTACCTGCAGGTTTGTGAAGGCCAGTGCGGAAGTCATGCCCTGATCAGAGATGGGCATCTTTGACAAGGGAGCAGAAGACCCGTTGCTGGAAACACCTGCTCGCAATACCGTCGGGAGGAAGGGATTTGGCATCCGAGTTCCACTGGGCCACAGTGCTGAGCTATCGAGTACACCCAGGCCCTGGGAATCAGCACGTCTTTGGTCACATCCTGGGCTCGGTTATTTCTAATCAGATCCCCAATGCATCCCTCTGGGGAGTGTGGACATATGTCAATTTCAAGAATAGAACTGGCAGATATTTGCAGACATGCAGCTTTTGGGTATGCCAGCATTATCTTCCGTCAAATTCAATTTCAGAGGAAACACAAATCAAGCAAACACTTCCCCTTGGACTTCAAGTTTTAGAGCAGAAATTCCAAAAAGAGTCTGGTCATTGAAAGTGGAGGGTGGAGTCTGATCGCCTCTCCTGGTCAGGAGAGCCAGCCCTGCCACCCTCCCTCAGGCCCCTGTCACCCAGTGACACTGCATGGCGGGTGGTGCCCTAGGTATGACCTGCCATGGAATGGCACCCCGGGTGCATGCCATGTAGACCCCTGGTCATTACTCAGTCCTGTCAGTTAATACTTTCTTTAAAGTCGGCAGCACTTCAGAAACTCCTTTCCTGGCAATTGCTCAATTGTATTGCAATTATATAAAATGCATTTGTCTCTTCCACCTGAATATCTATTTGTTATTTATTTGAGAAACGCTTATGTGGCATTTATCATGTACCAGCCATTCTTCAAAGTGCTGTGCATGAAGGAGCTCACTGAATCCTCCTAAATCCTCCTAACAGCCAGTGATTTAGTGATGGCTGCTGTGCCATTCCACAGATATGGTAACTATGGCCAACAGAAAGAAAGCACATTGCCCAGAGTCCCCCATGGGTGAGCAGCAGACTTAGCACCCAGCCCCAAGCAGTCTGGCTCCGTCGAACTGTCCATTTGTGCAGTATAGGCATCTCTAGGGCAGGGGACCATCCCACACTTTTCATGTATCCATCACCTACCCCTCGCCAGTTCAATAAGTTATTACTGACCAAAATATGGGTGACAAGGAAACTTATCCAGGTAGGTGATAATATATACATGTAGGTTTGCATAGAGGTCCCCATGAAGGATAATATATACATGTAGGTTTGCATAGAGGTCCCCAAAAAGGACACTTTACGCCGATCGATTACTTAGGCATAGAGAGACATGGCATGGAAACACTGTGGAACAAGTCAGGCAGACATCATCAAACCCACTTTACAGATGCACAGATTGAGTTCTATGGATTAGATATTAAGAAAGAATCTGATAACAAAACGGTTGTGCAAACTTGTGTTTCAGGAAGATAAAATTTCGCATGTAATTCTTGGTTCAAAAGAAAACAGGTGATTACAAAAGCAGCAAGTATTTGATTCATTTCTGGAGGACAAGAAACTCTGTCCGGAGAATTGCTGAGGGTAGAAAACCCAGAAGCATGTAGGTTAAACTGATGTTCTAGAAGAGAAGTGGCTGGGGCATTGCCTTATTCTAGATAAGGAATCAAGAACAGGACTTGGTCACAGTCAAAAACAAAGGCTCACTCAAGAAGCCAGCAGCTCACAGTAACGAGCAGGCTTCTCAAAGGAGGCGGGAAAACACACTTGGGCAGGGCCCAGAAAGAGAAGATGGCGCCTAATGATTCCAAACTGCCCAAATGCCGCATGCCCAGCTACATGCCACAGCAAGCATTGCAGTTTTCTGTTGGGTCTTTGCTTCCAAAAGAGCAGGGCAGCACGTCTTCAACCCTACCTAAGCTACCGCAGTCCTGCCCTACAGCCCGGAGGGAAAATAGGAAGACTCACCACGTTCACATTTCTTAATTCCCAGAGCCATAGGTGGCCCCTTTCTGATTTTGGATGCTTAAATGTTTCCCTTGGCATAGAGCGAGGACAGATTAAAATTTTGATAGAAGCTGAGAATGATCATCTGGCAAACTGACTTAACTGGAAAAGCTAGTCCTAGGGGATGGACATAGATTTTTGCTAATAAAATAGGGATCACACCGTTTTCCTATACCTCTTAGGAGACATTGTTTAGATCAAATATGATAGAGTTTCGGTAGCACTTTATAAGCTATGAAGTACTGTAAGAATGCAACGAATTAGAGCAATTTCTTTCAAGACTTTCCCTCTGCAAATTGATCAAATGTAGAACGGAAACTGAAATACTGGTGAATCTAGAAAAGCCTTCCTGGATACAAAGTGGAAATGTATTGATCACCTAGAGGCCAGTGGAGGATTTGGTGGAGAATAAAACTTGAGAAAGGACCTTCTGTCCCTAACAGATTACCAAACCCATACAAGCAAATATATATGCAACATCCCTAAATAAAAGAGACACATGCAACCTCAATTAGATACTTACCCACTGGCTTCCCATTGGCATAGAGACAAAAGATATCACAATCGTAGAAGGTCCATCTTTAGATCCTGGAACAGAAACACGCCACTTGCTTCTGGGTTTAACTCAAGCAGCACTCTGCATATTTCAACAATATCGTGAAATTTAAAAACCTCTGATATTTGCACATAGCTGCATTCCTAGACTGTTCACCGCAATGGCAGGAATTATTGCCATCCACGTACGACGAGCCCTCGGTGTTCAGTTTACATGTGTTTTAACTGGGCAGGCTCCCTGCGCAGTGCTGCAGGAGGGACGGGGCCTTCCCGGCAGAGGAGCCTGGGCACCGTCCTGGACACCTGCTGTGCCCCAGATGCCCTTGGCCAACTGGGCAAGGTACACAAGGACGAGGTGGTTACTCCCCAAGGAGCCTCAGCTCCAATTAAAATGTTGACTCAGCCCCAAATATTCCAATTCCCTGGACCAGGTGGGTGGTCACAGTTAACAGGTGGGGAAGAGCCTCTTCTGCAGGGCTCCTGAGAGTTGAACACGGCTCTGGTGAAGAGAGAGCAGCTTATGCGCAGTACTGGCCACGGGCAGCTGATCCCTGGGAATCCTTTAGGATCAGGCGTGCACCTTGCAGGGAACAGCAGCTGACACAGGAAACGGGGCTGACTTCCTGAGTCCTTGTTCTCCACACCCTTCTGCTCTGAAAAGACAGCAGAAAAGACTTCTGCCTCAGTGCATGAAGGCCTCTCCTCACATGGTTTTCAATTCTCACTCTCTGTCTCTCTCTCTCTCTATATATATATATATCTCTCTCTCTCTCTCTCTATCTATCTATCTATCTATCTATCTATCTATCTATCTATCTATCGCTGTCTCTCTATCTATCTCTATCTGTATCTCTCTATCTCTATCTCTATCTTTCTATCTCTCTATCTCTATCTCTCTCTGTATCTCTATATCTCTCTCTCTATCTCCATCTCTATCTCTCTATCTCTCTCTAGCTGGCTCTCTCTCTCTCTCTGTCTGTCTCTCTGATACTGCTTTTTAAATCTTAGGACATTTTGGTAAGGATTACTTCACAGGGATGTATTCATCTAAATGGCTCCTATGATATCTTCAGATCCAATATTTTGTCACTCTATAATTTTGTTTTTCCTTTGGAAGTATTTTAATGAAGACGCAAATCTAAAATTACTCAAGTCTCAATTATCATGAGACTGTTAAAAAAAAAAAAAACCAATTCCGCCACAGACAATAAAAACAAGTTCCTTTAAAGACGTTTTAAGTATAAGTGGACATTTTACAAACTACTTGTCGAGATGAATCTTATTCCTTATTTTACTTATTAATCCGGAAGAGGGGGTGCACTGTGTCATTCGCAAGTTTGCAGACAATGCTAAAAAAGCCATTGAATGGGAAGGCGTCAAGCTGACAGGGATAGACAGCAGCGAAAGGGACGGTTGAGGGGGTGGGAAGTGGCAGATGCGTTTCAGTGTGGGTAAGTGTGAGGACACCCGGGGTGGGGAAAGTAGCTATAAAATGACTCCCTCCCAGCTATCAGACCCGAGACAAGGGACAGACAATCCCAGGTGGTCAGGAATGATGATCCAAATGCATAAACATTAGGACCCTATTAATAATGCTTTATTGTTTACAAAAATGCTGTGTGTGTGTTTTATGCACATACATTAAGCAGTCCTACTGAACCTTACATCCACATTATAGGAGACGCGGTGAGGTTCACGTTGTGGATACAGTTACACGGCTGCTTAAGAATGAAACATTGGACATTCTTCTTGACCTCAAGCAAGGTAGATTCCGGTAGGGAAGTCGTACACATGGCCCCAACAGCACAGTCGTTCCTGTGCTGTTTTGAACAAACATGCTGACTGCTACACACAGCAGAAATCCTTCAGAAAGTACACAGCAGAAACATATTACATAGAAAGTACACAGCAGAAACATATTACATAAAACAGGACTTTGGAACTCTGCATTGCATCAACCTTACAAACGTTGTTGTAAATGTTAAACATTCTATTACATGGTGTCCTCTTTAGGATTTTAGTACTATATATAGATTTGTTTCTCGTGGATAGAAAAGAGAACATTTTCCTTTTTTTATTTTCATGTATCTGTGAATTTTATAACTGCTCTTTTTTTTTTCTTCTCTGTTAATTTCTAGGAAGTAAAGAGTCAATTTTGCAACCCACGTGTAGCAAGTTTGGGGGACCTTATAGAAAAAAAGTGAAGATATTGTGCCATAGATTCCATTGGTTTGGTCTGGTTTGAACAAGACAGCTCACAGCTCAGCGCCGGCGCGGAAAGCCATGACGTCAGCCCCACGGACGGTGCTCACACGGTCTCCACCTGGCCACACAGAACACCCACGCAGTCTGATCTGGCCCCATTCATGCTTGTGTCCTCTGATTTTCCCGTTCTGCTCCTGTCCACTCTCTGCACGTAGCACCCTCGGTTTTCCTGGCTTAGATTTGCAAGTTTTGAGACATCAGTCCCTCTCACCTTTCAGCATTTTCTGCTCCCGGCTGACGGGCCTGCCCAGCCACACAGAAAGGGATGTTTGCTCAGGTGCAACCAGGAGCAGCTTCGTGAAGTTCCTTGAGTTGTCCCTGTAAACCGAATCACATAACATGGTTCTGTTTCAATGGAGGTCACTTCAACTTCTTCAATAATGGTCAGGCACAACTTATGATATATAATTATTCAAAGAAAACATTTGTCACTGGGATCTGGAGCCAAACGCTTTGGGACCAATATTTATTTATTTAATAGGTACACACTATTATCTACACTATTCACGGTGATCGCAGGGTTTCCTTGAATCTTCTTGAATGTGTTTGCTGGAGAGAATGTATCACCCCAAAGGAAAGATTTTTCAAGGAAATGATAGAGTCAAGGTTGCAATACGAATAAACCTCCCTATAACTTTCTCTCTGTATTAGGTCATCCGTCACTAACATTTTTCCTCTTAACTTCAGGCATTCAAAATGATTTTTCAAATGAGCTTTATAAATATTTGGTTTTGACATTTCCTCATCAGAGTAAAGATAATATATTTTTTTTTCTTTTTAAACCAGGGTACAACTCAATGTCTGGCCCACTTTGTCTGTACATTAAATGTGTGTTTAAAAACTGAATTTGAGCTCAATCACCTTGAATGTTTTGCTTTATAACTTCTAGTTTTCTGGAGACAGGCAATTCCATTATCTATACGTGATGACTAGACAATATAAGAGGAATACTTTGGGTCTAAAATCAGGGAAATGAAGAATCTGCAATAAAATGGTCAACAGCGTTAAGTATGATTATATTATATATAGATAAAATTAGATGATGTTATTCACAGTCAAGAAGAGACCTTGGATTTTAGCAAAACAAAACACTTTACAGTGAGGGAAGCTAAGGGACTTTTTCTGAGTCACACGACTAATCCAAGGCCAAGTCGGAGCTCCCAGATCAGAAATCCAGCCCTTCTTATCTGCGGCTCCTTTCCTGAGAGCATCACATAGATTCTAATTTGGGGTTATCCATCCCTTTCTGCAGAAATGAATTTTAAAATCAAGCTTGGTCTTACTGACTCCAATGGTGTGTTTCCACACGGAGGAGCTCACCTGCTCTTTACATTTCCAGACCCGTCGAACCAGTTTCTGTCTCCAGAAGGTCACTGCACACCATTCCTCGTGTCTGATCCCTACAGTAAACAAAATCTGGAGGCAGAGCAGCATGACATTTGAGAATGTGACCATGTCCCTGCCTGTAATCTCTTGAAGGAAAGTGAGACCATGCTTTAGCCAAAATGCAGATGCTTCCTAAACGTGACAACATTCTCAGGTACGATCATCACAAGCACCTGATAGTTTCTCCTTCTTAACAGGTATAACAGAAGTCCCTTCTCTGACTCCTTACCCTGCAGAGTCACCATTTCTTAGTGCTTTAAACAAAAAAACCATTTAGCCTGCACCCTCCACCTATTGACTAAACCCTTCCTATTTCTTGACTCTCCCTTCTAAGAATCATTTCCTTCTTAGGGAGTCACCTTTCGTTTTCTTAAGGGTATTACTTCATTGCTTCATTTCCTCCAGGGAATTACTTCTCTTCATTGGATGCAACAGTGAACAGGTGGCACTGCTTTTAAAAAGTGTCCTCTCTTCTCCCCAAAGAATCAGACGTGTGATCCAAGATAGACCCATCCCATTGTCTCTTCCCAGACTTTGAAGTCTGAGCCAAGTGGCAGAGAAAGACTGCAGTAGTTCCTGGCTCCTGCCCAGTGCTTTGGTGAGAGGGTTTTGATGGCCTACGAGACCTGATATTCTACTATGTCCCCGCTCCCCAGCTGCTCTGTAGGATTATTGGGCTAGCCACTGTCTTTCCTCCAATTCCCCTTTTGCTTGTTATCTGGTTTGGTGTCTGCTGCTTGCCACCAGACAACTGTAGCAGACAAACTGCTCTAGTCCAGGACCACAGCACCCCTGGGCCTGGGCTCCTGCAGCTTCCAAACTACACTGGTCGCGTGGTCCCCAGAGCCTCAGTCCCTTCAGTTCACTCCTGCATTTCATCTTTGAAGGCATCGCTTGGACCGTTTTTCTTCCTGGTGAAATCTGTGAAGGCACAGAAGAGAGGAGCACAGCCATCCTTGGAAATTTCTGGGAGGGTTTCCACGAGGAAAGGATGCCTGGACTGAGACGCGAAACATGCACAGAGCTGCTGGGGGAACATGGTTGGCATGAGGCAGGGGTGGGGCAGAGAGAAAGAGCGTGCCTGTGCTTGTGCAGGGAAGATGCCAGAAGATGGAGCGGAAGGTTGCTCCTCACGACAGCTCTGTGCAGACTGACTGTGCTTGCTCTCAGGCCAACGGGGAACCATTAAAATCCCTGAGCAGAGCGGAAACGGCATCTAATTGGCACCTTGACATAAACTCAAGAGTTCAGGAAGCTAGTGGAGGATGTCGGGTTGCCGGGGACTCCCGCAGCAGCCGTCCTTGGGCCACGCTGGTGGCCACTCCGTCTGGAACTCTTTCGGCGTTTCTCTTCTCACTACACTCTTTGATGTAGGATTCCCTTGGACACTGTCACTTCTCCTCCCACTCATACATTGTTCTTGGTTAATCTAATCCAAACCTACACCTCCATCCCTGTGTGTGTATTGGTGACTCCCAAGTTTGGCACTGCCTAAAGCCCTGCTCCAAGCTCCAGACCTTGCCGGGCGTCTAACTGCCCAAACCACATCTCCATTCGGGTCCCCCAATCCAACATTATGAAAAATAACTCCGTCCTTTTCCTACACTATCTGTTTGTTTCTGTGTTTCCTATCATGATGAAAGTCCCAAGATTTAAGCCAGAAATCCTAGCCTCGCCTTTTTCTTCTCTTTCGATTTCCCATAGCATAATGTCAAAAATATTGATTTAACCACCCAAGTCTATGGATTCTGTTTCACAAAAAAATGTATTAAGTCCCCCCTTTCCAATATCACGGCTTTAGTTAATGATGGCTGATACTATTTGAGTCCTGTTACCACAATCACAGTCTTGGTAATAGCTGTGTCTCCACCTCTCACATCCTTGAATTTTATCCTTACTGTGACTTTCAGGGTGAATTTTTTCACAATTAAAAATGTGATGAAAATCTTTCAGTGGATTTCTATGGTGCTGGGCATGCCTGAATGACTCAGTGTACCGCATGTACAGATAGATACACAGAGTACCCTGAGTCTACATTTACTCTGTGTCCCAGAGCTCCACACACAGCCACTTAGGTTCTTCCTCTGCCTGTTTTTTGCAGTGCAAGCTCTCACCTCCTTGCCCCCTCCCAGCTTACTCTGGCCCTACCAAATTACGGCTTTCTCAATCTATCTTGGGCACTTCTCACACCTCTGTTCATTTGTAAGTGCTATGTCCTCTGCTTAGAATGTGGTTCTCTCCCTTCTTTACTTTAACTTTCAAATAAGATGTCCTCTTTTCCCTTTTCAGGGTCAGTGCCTTTCCTCTGGGCTCCACATGCAACTTGCTGTTCCCTGTGCCCCCCCTGCCCATGTCCTGTGATCACAGCTCACTGCACGGGGCCCCAGTGAGGGTCCAACCGCATCGGGTCAGGGCTCAGGCACACGCCTCCCGTGTCCCCACAGCCCTTCTGCATCTCGGGAAACACTTGGTGAGCCACGGAGTGGATGTAAAGGAAGAGGCACAAATGTTCAGCAGTGGTCAGTAGTGGTCACGTTTTGTGCCTTGTGACCTTTCCAGTGAGTCATTTACTATGGCAGCATTCCATTTTATCTATATTTTAATGAAATACGTAGATTTGCATTTATTTTCTCTCATGGCATTAGAGTTCTGCCACATTAAACAATTCTACACTATTTGAATATTTTCATTTTAAAATCGTGTGTCTGGAGGTGATAAAACTGAAGAACACATGTACAAATTGGGGCAGCCTCGTCTGCGCCGATCACTCACGTGGTCTCTTTCAGCCTCCCTCCCCAAAGCTGCTTTCTTAAATACAAAAATGCCCTTTTTATTCAGCATTAATAAAACAGAGAGCTTGGTCAGTAAACAAAAAGTGGGATTTTGCTGTTTTAGAAATAGTCTAGTAGTTGTAAAAAGTATAAGCCAAGGCAGGTGTCATTTAGGCAAAAATGATTTTTTACATTTTTTTTTTTTTTTGCTTACATGTGGCGTGTTTTACAACATAACTAATTTGAAGTACATCTTTCCTTTCTTGGCTATTAAACCATGTTTCAATAAATTACCTCAAAAATTATATATTAATTTCTACCAAATTCACCTCGTTGAGCTATTAGGTGAAATAAAGCATATGAATGTGACATACAAACATTGCAGAACTGTGGACATCAAGTACTTTTATAATACTAGCAATCAATCATGAATTACTGAGCAGCGACTGTATATAAGTTAACGTGCTAAATATAAATACAAAGATTTAAGAGTCCTGACCTCTGCTCTTAAGTAAATTGAAGATGATTTGGAGAAACCAATCAGAGAAATGGTAGAGTATCAGCAAAACGCAGCCTGCAGTGGAACCCCGAGAGCTGGGTTAGCCAGCGTGGAAGAGTTCAGAGATGAGGCATCGGTTGTGAATGCTTCTCAAGGAAGTAGCATAAGAGCACCTGGTCCTACAGAATGAATGGAATATATAAAGTATTTGTTTTAGATTTAGGGTAGGAATTCTCATTTGTGAATTCACATTCTCAGATGTGCCCTGGGATCTTGTTCTTGAGCACGGAGGGAGCTGTGGCTAAGAAGGGTGCCACCGCCATGACTAGGCTCTGTTACAAGGCACAGGGGAAGGGATTTTGCAAATGCAAGGAAGTGTCCTAATCAGTTGGGGCCTTCATCAAAAGGGAGATGGTGCTGGGGCAGGGCACAGCCAGTGAGAACCCTTGAAAGAAGGAACCACCTCTCCATGGAGGGAGATGGTCCCCTGCCGGATTTGAAGCCAGCAACCGTGAGTTTTTCAGCCACGTGGAAGTGAATGCTGCCCACAACCGGGGGAGCTTGAAAGCAGATCTTTTCCCATCAGTCCTCTAAAGAGAAGATATCTTTGTTGATATTTTGAGCACATCCTTGTGAGACCCCGAGCAGAGAGCCCAGCCAAGCCATGCGTGGCTTTTTGACCCACAGTCACCATGAGATAATAAATCCTAATTCCTAAGTTTGTGCAATTGGTTATGCAGTAATGGAGATCTAAAACCACCACCATTCCATAAGATTCTCCAATTACTTACATTTGAAAATTGTCCCAGAGCTGTCGCTATGGACCTTACAAGTCACTGTACTCACCTTTGTTGCCTGAGCCCTCCCGAGGCAAGTAGAGATGCGCTGCCGTCAGTCAAATCCCAGGAAGAGTGCACGTTCTCCACCGTGAGACCAGCAGGCTGCTGGCCCCGAGGAGACACCTCGGAATGTGATGCGGATTTGCCGGCACACCTGAGATCACACTGGGTTTCTGGAAGGGTCTGC